GATACTGTTTTCTCATTATTAAACATTTTTATAAAACCCTACTTGCCCATGGATTTCAACAGTAACTTCCTACAACAATTGGAGCGTGCAGGGGTGAAATTCAGCAGGTTCTGACAGGTTCTGGAGAACCGGTAGTAGAAATTTTGAGTAGTTTGTAGACTGGCAAATACCACCTCTGGCTGGCCCCAGAGTGGGGTGTAAATGGAGATTTTGCAATATCCTTCCCCCAGGAGTGAGGGAATGGGGATTTTGCAGTATCCTTCCCCTGGAATGGGGTGGAATGGAGATTTTGCAGTATCCTTCTCCTGCCATGCCCACCAAGCCACGCCCACAGAACCTGTAGTAAAAAAAAAGTTGAATTTCACCACTGGGAGTGTGCAACAACTTTGAGTCAATGGCTGTGCAACTTTGTTAAATCAAGAGCTGCACCTGCCTTTCAATAGCTGGTTGAAGGCCCCAATGCAAAGAGCATGGGGCCTTATTAAAATATTTTGAAAAGTGGGTAGGGAATGAAAAATCAAATTAATTTGGCAGCAGCAGATGTACACAAATAGAAGATGAAGCTATTTTGTCTGACAAATCCAGAGAGATGAAATATGAACAAGAGTGAATATCTTAAAAAAATAGGGGGACAGCAGTAGATAGTGTGTTGGTGCTGTAACCAAATACAATTCCCATAAATCTTGGCCATCTTCTCTCAGTTGTCATGCAAAGCATCTAGAAGGCATCAACCTTCCTAATCGAGCAAAATTATGCTTAAAAGCAGAGCTCCAATAATCCCCCCCCCTTTGGAAATTGACCCCACTTCTGGATTCCCAACTCTTAGGGGATCCATCTTTTAGCTTTCAAAGCATCTCTACAGAAACTTTCTCCATCTTATGACTGAATGCAATCAAAATATATGTATGGACACTAACTCAAGACATGCTGGTCACCTTTTGAGGGTACATGTTTGAAGGTAGCTAGATTCAGCTACCAAAAATCTCCAAAATCTAAGAGTGGGTAAACCTTTGGCACAAGTAGTGCTTTTTTTCCACCATTTCCAATCACTGGCCCTGGAGGGGGAAGACTGAAATCCAAAATGTCCAGAGAGCATCAAGTTCCTACTTCCCTACTCTAAGCGGGGGTCTCCTTCCTCTCTATTTTCCATTTGTTGGGGGTCCAATATGTTATGTGTTTTCCTCAGAATAAAACCCAGATTTCACTTTCCAGAAAATATGCTGCATGCCTACATTTATAGACTCACTTTACTACTGGTGCCATCAGATACTTAAAATTGATAATTATTGTTTCCTGATTTCTTATTTGTACCCTATGACTATCATTAAGTGTTATACCTTATGTTTCTTGACGAATGTATCTTGTCTTTTTATGTACACTGAGAGCATATGCACCAAAGACAAATTCCTTGTGTGTCCAATCACACTTGGCCAATAAAGAATTCTATTCAATTCTTAGTATTGAATTGAACTAAATATAAGATTTAGTTTTATTACATGACCTGGGAAAATACACAAGTTTATTTATTTATTTATTTATAAATAAATAATATGTTTTTATACACCATACCAATGAGTTGATATTTTCTTTCAGCAAACCTGTTTTAACAGCTTTAGAAGGGAGGAAAATCTCCTTTGAATCCCACTTGACTCCTGGTAATTTATGGCAACTTATATGGAAGTAGTTGCTATTCCCTTATTTCTGCAACTTTGGGATTTCCTGCTTACCTGTCACAATTCTAATCTGGTGAGACCCTGTTTATTTTTTATTCCAGATCAGCCCAAATCAGGAAATTGACCTACCGAATTTAGAAGGGTAATGATACTAATTGTGGTGCAGTGGTGAAGGCATGAGGCCAGAAACCAGGAGACAGGAAGTTCTACTTCTTCCTTAAGCACAAAGCCAGCTGAATGACTCTGGACCAGTCCCTTTCTCACAGCCCTAGGTAGAAGGCAATGGCAAACCATTTAAGAAATCTTGCAAAGAAAATTGCAGGGACTTGTCCAAGCAGTTGCCACGAGTCAACAATGATTAGGAGGCACCAAAAAGAAGTCACCTAAGATTGTGCTGTCAGCTGCCCCCGTATTTCAAAGAGTTAATAGCTTGACCCTGTTCATCTGACAGCTCTCACAGAAAGCGACCTTCCTTCAAACTGTACCTGTAGAATCTTAAGCAGGCATTTTTCTAAAACCTGTTAAAATGCATGGAAGCCAGGCGTATCCGGTAGCCATGGTTAAAAAGGCAAGATGGCGACCACCACCCCGCCTGTTTTTGACAGAAATTGGAACAGGCGGAGATTCGTCTACTCTGTGCCGTCCTGGCTTCCATCTTAACTTTTTTGACCATATGCGGCAGTCACCCTTGATACGTAAGGGACCTGGTGCAGCTGAATTCATATTCTGGGTTGCTTGCACTGCAAATAGCAATGCTTTCTGTTACCTTCTTTATGCATCCAGGGAATTAAGTAATCATTACTGTACAGAGTAAGAAAATCTTGTTTTATTCAGCAGAGCTCTGCAGCTGCAAAACTAAAGACAATCTGGTTTCTGGCGCGGAGCTGGCATTCGCCTGGCGCTAAATGAATGTACGGCTCCTTTCCAGTTGGGAAATGCAACTAGCTGCAAAGCGCTTTGATGAACTGGGATTCCTACCATTTTCCCCGATCTGAGACGGCGATGCTGTGCAAAAATAAACTACCTGGGGTCAGGTTGCAATTCTGGACTGTTTTCTGGGAGTAAATCCCGTCGAATTATGCGGAGGTTAATTTGAATAAAGATGTAAGGGGATGTGCTCAGGTAAATACTTTAGAGCGGGACTCGGAGTGTGGGGTATTATCACGTGCCCACCCCCCCCCCCAATAAACGCGTTGGACTACCACTCCCATAATCCCAACCAGACGAGACTATTCAATTTCGGGAGATCAGAGGTGTAGTACAAGGCGTTGGGCCTGGAGGCCCGCGGCGGTTTCAAAACCAAACCAGCGAGAAACCTGGTCCAAATTGCATGGGATGGGGGCGTTCAGCAGGTACCCGGAGCAGCTAGGACTCCCTTTGCGGCCTCGCCCGTCGTAGCACCGAAGCGTTCCTGAGCAGGAGGAGCCCTGGCCTAGTCTTGCCCACTCCTACGGCGTCATCTTCCCCGCTTTGAACCGGGATCCCTCCAAGAGTGGCTGTGAACGCTACTGCCAATCCCAGAGGGACTTTTCTATGAGAGCGCCAGCCGCCAAACTGGAGCCGCCCTCCCGGGTCTCTCGTCAGCTGGAGCTGTGGCGCGCTGGACGGCCTTGGCTGCGCTGCTTTCCGCAGGACGGTTCTCTCGGTTGTTGCATTGTTTGTATTAATACGAATATCTTGTTCTGTTTGTTTTGTCTCTTGGGAGCCAATAAAGCTGTGAAGTTTTTCTTTACACCAAATGCAGCTCTACGGGCGATCAATCAATGGGTAGTTTTTGGATAATCTGTGAGAGTGAGAAATCTAATAATGCAAGCAACTCAGAAAAGGAAAACAGTCTATTTTCTCTTACGTTAGCAGAGCCAGGACTAGAACCGCGTATGCAAGAAATTAGTGCACGTCTGGGTGTGTGTGTGTATCCGCGGGCGCGCGCGCGCGGGCCTGTACACAGACACATTGCATATGGCTATTTTTATCGACGCACGAAAAGCATATGAAATTTATAGCTTTAATCGCATATTCTACATTACTGGAAGCACACGACTAAGGTGGGTGGGTGGCAGATTATTGAACGCAGAGAGGAAGGAAGAAAGGGTGCAGGTTTCAGCTGGCGGCTACGGTGACAAAAGGAAAACCTCTCTCTGACATCCCAATGGCCCAATTTATGCGGGTGGATTGTAGCTGTGGCAGGAAGGTCTCTGCAGGCCTGAGGCGCCACCCTTTTGCTGAGAAGCTATGGGACTCAGCATACGTCTCTGTGGTCCAGGCCAGGGACGGAGCTATAGGGCACCTTGTGCGCTGGGCTGTCCCACTTATTGTAACAGCTTTCCCGTGCACTTTCCTCCATCACAGCCCTTTCCCTTTCTCGAAGCGGCCGGAGGATGGCAGTTTCGAGGACAAGGCTCTCGTCCAACCTGGTGCTGTGCCTAATAGGCCCGGCTCTGAAGATTAAATTAGGGGCGTGAATCCGGTTCCTGCAGGGTTTATTTTCGATTAAGAGTGCATAGAATTTAGACCTGTTGTTAAGGATGATAATTGATAGCTTCCCCCCCACACACACACACTTTTACTTTTTTAGGCCAAGGATCTGACTTTAACACCTGTGGGAGAGATGTCATCACCCCAACCACTTTGCGAGGCAGAATTGTTGAAACGCAGGGAAAAGGCCAGAGACCCTTTTTCAGTGTTGTTAGCTTCGTGAGAAATTTAACTGAGCCACCAAACGACACTAAATAGTTATGAATGACCCAGCCAAATCCAGCGCTTTAAAGTCTTAGTGACTTTAATCGGAAAGTTATGTGTAAATCTAAACTGAAATCAATGGACCTGTGCCTTGGGAAAGCTGCATCCTTCAACTGTAGAGGCGTCCTAACTTGCCAGTCAAGCCCCCTTAAACACGGCAGGATAAACGAGGTTGGGCATCCTTTACCCGGAAGTAAGTTTTCGGGAAACTTCTTAGTTGACGGTGGGGGAATCCAACACGCTTGGCTGCCATTCTATCGCCTTTATGCCAGAGACAAGCCCCCATCCACATCAGGATTGCCTTGAAAAAAATGATCCAGAAGACCGTATTTTGGCACTCCTGGGGAGGTCTCGATCCCCCAGTCGTGTTCATTGCATCTCCTAAATCGCGGGAGAGGGGTCGCTGGATTCCCACGACATGGGAAATTACGTGTGCTGGTTTAATGGCTTAATTGTGCCGTGGGAACCCAGCCAATGGAGAGGTATGACACAGTAAGGCAAAACAAACTACCGACGTGAACCTGGTCTTTCTCTGCATAATGACTGGCTTCTCACGCGCCTACTCAGAGGTAAGGGCCCCCTCGAGTT